CTGCAAGTCCACACCATAGCTGAGATGGCACTGCAGGAGGAAGAGGGCCGATCACGGCCCGAACCCGTGGTGCAGACCAAGTATGAGCCGCTCCTAGGGGGAGTCGAACTCGTGCTGAACATGAAGGCCGAGAAGTTAAAAATCAAGTGTGACTCCCGGCTCGTGGTGGGGCAGGTCAGGGCGAGTTCGAGGCCAACGAAGAAAGAATGAAGAGGTACTGGGACGTGGTGCTACAGTTGCTGGGGCAGTTGATCTATTACAAAGTTTTGCAGGTACCCCTAGAGCAGAACGTAGACGCAGACATGTTATCTAAGCTCAACCAAGGGGCCCCGGAGCATATCACCAAGATAGCCGGGGTCGAAGTCCTCAAGAGGTCAAGTTTGGAGGCATACCTGGTCTTCCCCGTGCAAATCCGACCCCTCGTTGGTTGGACCACCTCAAGGAGTACAAGAAAACAAGTACGCTACCCCAAGACGAGGTCGAGGCCAAGCTAGTGAAAAGACGAGGTCGAGGCCAAGCTCATGAAAAGACGAGCCCCTACCTACCTGGTCCTCGATGATACCCTCTACAAGAGGTCCTACAACGGCGCCCTGTTACGCTGCCTATATCCCGAGGAGGCGAGGTCGGTCATGGAAGAGATACACGAGGGGACCTGCTCAGCTCACCAGGAGGCCTACACTACGGCCTGAAGAGCCATCCTACAAGGGTACTTCTGGCCTAACATGGTGACAAATGTTCATTTGCGTCAAAAGTTTGCAAATTGGCGAGCTTACACTTGGGTTTATATCGTTTTCTCGCGGATGTCAAATTGGAGAGATTAGAGCGAGTGTGCAAGCAATACAATGGCAAGTACTAACTAGGCATGGAAGCATCATTTTGTTGATTCAAGAGTGCAAGTATACGAATTAAGCAAGAAACAACAATAAAGAATAAATGATTGGATTGGATTGGCTTCCCTAAGCATTGCATTCGCTTTCCAAGGGATGAATCGATGTGGTACATGAGCGGTTACTAAGGCAGTATCAAGGCACCGACACTAAGTCACGTAGAACTTAGTCTCTCAGGTCCTAAGTTAGCTAAGGCATTTTGTCGAGCCACTTGGTCTACCACTCTTCCTGGGCCTAGCCTTCTCGGATCGTAGGGCGGGGATTATGCACAAGCACGACTATCAAGAGGTTACAATCTCTTATCAACCTCTCAATCCTACACTCCTACCCTATTGTGGCCACCACCAAGATAGGATCAACTCAAAGAATGCACATAACAAAGCAATTCCATTCAAGCACCAAATCTATTCAAGAGAAACAAGTAGGATCTAACCTGGAGGGTGTGTGACACGCTTGTAGTATGCGTGGGGTGGAAAGGAGGTTGGGAAATGGAATTTCCCGGATTGTCGTTCTCAAGGGATGACAAATTGGGGTTGCTTAGCTTACTCTACTCTTGAAATTCTACAAGGGAGGATACAAGGACCGGAGTTTTAGCAAACATGATGAACAACAAGAAGGGAAATTAAAAGAAACGCATAAAGGGCGAAATGGGGTTGAGTTGGTCTCGTTGGTTCCTGGACCTTAGGATATACTACTCCACAAGAGCAATCGGGTTGCCGAAACGAAAGGGATTCTTACGGGGGTGCACGACACGATACTAAGCTACGACAAGCTAGTCTCTCCGTCTACCTACGTCGGTGGAGGCATTTCATCGAACACCTTGTTTACCGCCCCTCCTGGACCTAGCCCTTTCGGATCGTAGGGTGGGGATGCTAAACCCTTGGGCTATGGAGATAGGGCAATCTCTTGCTCCAATCTCCAACCTAAGCCTATGCCTAATTGTAGCCATCAATTAAACAAAGTCTAAGCAAAGCAAATTCAACACATAAGATCTCATTCATCTCAACAACCACTTCAACAAAGCAACAATCCTAAGATCATAGAACCTAGATTCCAACTCAACCAATCTAATCTAACTACAATGCATCATTTTGACAATGAACCCTAAATCTATCATGGATCAATTGCAAGGCAATAAAGAAACAAGGATACAACGTAATTACTCGCGTTACATAAGCTCGAACGGCCTACTCCAATCAGGACCCACCAGTATGGGTGTGCTGGTCATAGCGTTCTTCAACTTGTTAAAAGCTTTAACTCTTTCTTTTGTCATTTCAAACGGGGCATCCTTCTCTAGCAGTTGTGTCAGGGGTCTTGCAATCTTTGAAAAGTCTCTTATGAAACGTCTGTAAAATTCTACATGGCCTAAGAAACTTCTTAAAGAGGTAATATTATGGGGCAAAGGCAATGTTTCAATCACTGATGTTTTTGCTCTATCGACCTCAATACCCCTTCTGGATAATTTGTGTCCCAAGACTATTCATTCCTTGACCATGTAGTAGCATTTTTCCAAAGAGAGAGCAAGATTTACCTTTTGGCATCATTTAAGCACCTTTTCCAAATTGCTTAAACACTCATCAAATGTATGGTCGAATACGGTAAAATCATCCATGAACACCTCCATGATATCGCGATAAAATCTTCGAATATCGTGATCATGGATCTCATGAAGGTTGCTGTTGCATTACAAAGCCCAAACGGCATTCTACGGTACGCAAATGTTCCAAACGGGCATGTAAAAGCAGTTTTTTCTTGATCTTCTAGTGCGACTGGTATTTCAAAATATCCGCTCAGGCCGTCTAGAAAACAATAAAAACCGTACCCAGACACCTGTTCAATGGTTTGATCGATGAACAGTAACGAGAAATGGTCTTTCCTGGTGGCGTCATTCAACCTTCGGTAGTTAATACACACACGCCATCCGTTGACTTCCCGAGTTGGAATCAATTCATGCTTCTCATTCTCAACGACAGTTATCCCTCCTTTTTTGGGTACCACATGAGTGGGACTCACCCATGGACTGTCTGAGATGGGGTTGATCATCCCCACGTCTAGAAGCTTGATTACTTCATTCTTGACGACTTCGAATGTGTCGGGGTTCAGCCTCCTATGAGGTTGTGCTACTGCCTTAGCACCATCTTCCAATAGGATTTTGTGCGTACAAACGGCTGGGCTTATACCCTTAAGATCGGCCAACTTCAAACCGATAGCCTTTTTATTGCTATGCAACATTGTTGTCAGTTTTCTTTTCTCTTCTGAAGTCAAACGAGCTGAGATCACCACAGGGCGGTCCCTGTTATCTCCTAAATAAGCATATTCTAAATGATCCGGCAGTGATTTCAACTCTTTCTTTTCGGCTTCAATTCATTGAATTTTATCCCTTCTTCTTCCAAACTTCTTTTTGTGGTCCTCCTTTCATCTTCATCATGCTCTTCTTTCTCCTCTCCATTCTTGTTGTTCCCATTCTCCTTTTTTCCATCTGTATCATGAGTATGCAATTCGTCTTGTAGAACATTGTTGCGAAATTCGAAAGCATTATTCGAATATGCATGCAATGTGGTGTCAATTTCACCTTTGTTATTTGTCAAGATCTCTCCCATCTTAGCTTTAGGAATCAAATCATGCAAATAGTCAACTTCTTCATGCATCGACTCAATGTAAAAACAATCATTGTCTTCCTCAGCCGGGTATTTAATCAATTTCGCCACATTAAAACTGGTGGATTCCTCTCCGACTCGAATGACAAGTTTCCCATATCCGACATCAATGAGAGCGCGGGATGTGGCCAAGAATGGCCGTCCCAAAATGAGTGGCACCTCGCCATCGGTATTCATGTCCGAAATGACGAAGTCTACAGGGAATATGAACTTGTCTACCCGGACTAAGACATCCTCGACAATACCTCGCGGATATATCGTGGATCGATCAGCAAGTTGAATGCATATTCGAGTGGGTTTGAGGTCTCCTAAGTTCAGTTTCTTATAGAGAGTGTACGACATTAAATTGATACTTGCGCCTAAATCGGCCAATGCTTTGTTGAAAGATGCTCCTCCAATATTGCATGTAATGGTAAAACTCCCGGGGTCTTTCAACTTCCGGGACATATCCCGATGCACAATGGCGGAACATTCTTCTCCTAACACGATTGTGGTGGTTTCTTCTAACTTCTTTTTGTTAGAAAGCAAGTCCTTTAGAAACTTAGCATACCTCGGCATTTCTCCGAGAGCGTCAATGAATGGCATGTCCACATGTAATTGCTTGAGTATTTGCAAGGACTTTGCATATTTTGCATTGTCAATGTCACTTCGGAATCTTTGAGGAAATGGTAATTTGTCCTTCGGGATTGTGGGTAGGACATCTGCTTTCTCTTTCCCTTTCTTGAGGATTTAGGAATGCGAGATGGTTCTTCTTCGGCTGAGAAACATTGGGAGAACTTTCGGTGGTTGGAATTGAATTTTTATCAATTGGCTTATTGACAGTTGGAGAATATGGGATGGGAGTAGGGGTAGGTAGTGGGATTGGAGGATTGATTTCCGGAAGAGCTTTCCCGCTTCTAAGAGTTACAGCATGAGCTTCGGCTTCAAGTTTCTTGGTGAGTCCTGCAATTAGAGCGGTTACATTGTCTTCCATTTTCCTAAGTGGTTGACACGCCTCTTGTTTGAAAAGGCCTAGTTCTTTCTCAAGTTCCAACTTCATTGACATTCATAAATTTTATATTTCCTCTTTGGGTTCACAAATGAAGTCTTGAAGTTTTTGTTCAAGCGGAGAAACAACGGATGAAGATTGGACTAGACTGTCCACGCATGGCCAACGTGCTTTGTGCCCTGCATGGAAGTGTCGGTTCTCCAGCAACGCATCCCCACAACGCGCGTTGAAGTTTCTGGTTTACCCCTCTATTGAGCTCATTTTCCCACAACAAAGGTTGGGGGTTTCATGTGATGGATTTCTAGAGTATGAACCTTGCGAATTCGTATGGTGATGTGCAGCATAGCAAGGTTCATAGCAATATGGAAGGGGGTGGGTAATGATAGATGGGTTGGTGGGGGGGGGGGGTAGCTATATATGTAGGGATGTGGTGGAGGGGGTAGTATGAAGTATGATGATAAGATGTGGGGAGAGGGGGGGGGGGGGGGGTGGGGGGAGTGTCTCCATGGTTCTTCACCATGGGATGGATACACTTTTGGTGGCGGTACATGACAAGGAGCCAATGAGGTAAGTGATGTTCGGGATTCATAGCTCCCTTCAAGAGTAACCAAAACAACAAGGGAAGGAAAACAACTAAAAGTAGAGGTTCTTAAAGTGCAACACAAACGACAAACTCAACGGAATGACAAAGCAATGAACACGAATCAAAGATAAAGAAATCAAACAAATCCTAGTTCCATACCTAGAGAATTACAAAAGAGACCAAAAACTAATCAAAGCCGACCGCCATCCCCGGTAACGACGCCATTTTGACACGCTTGTAGTATGCGTGGGGTGGAAAGGTGGTTGGGAAATGAAATTTCCCGGATTGTCGTTCTCAAGGGATGACAAATTGGGGTTGCTTAGCTTACTCTACTCTTGAAATTCTACAAGGGAGGATACAAGGACCGGAGTTTTAGCAAGCATGATGAACAACAAGAAGGGAAATTAAAAGAAACGCACAAAGGGCGAAACGAGGTTGAGTTGGTCTCGTTGGTTCCACGACCTTAGGATACACTACTCCACAAGAGCAACCGGGTTGCCGAAACGAAAGGGGTTCTTACAGGGGTGCACGACACGATACTTAGCTACGACAAGCTAGTCTCTCCGTCTACCTACGTCGGGGGAGGCATTTCATCGAACACCTTGTCTACCGCCCCTCCCGGACCTAGTCCTCTCGGATCGTAGGGCGGGGATGCTAAACCTTTGGGCTATGGAGATTGGGCAATCTCTTGCTCTAATCTCCAACCTAAGACTATGCCTAATTGTGGCCATCAATTAAACAAAGTCTAAGCAAAGCAAATTCAGCACATAAGATCTCATTCATCTCAACAACCACTTCAACAAAGCAACAAACCTAAGATCATAGAACCTAGATTCCAACTCAACCAATCTAATCTAACTACAATGCATCATTTTAACAATAAACCCTAAATCTATCGTGGATCAATTGCAAGGCAATAAAGAAACAAGGATATCAAAGAATGATAAAGAGATTAAGAAAAAATAGTACCAATTAAAAGCAAATCAAAGCTTCAAACTACAAGATCTTCAATCCACGTGCTCCTTCCTCCTCCTCTTTACCCTCTCATCTCCTAACCTAAAAGTGTAAATCTGAAAAATAAAAGTGTGTCCCCTTTACATCTGAAAAATCCTCTTTTTAAACCTAAAATCGCGTAAGTGATTCGTCAACGCCACGCACAACATGCGTTGTCGCGTTTTGCAACGCACGTTGTAGCGTGCGTTGAACTTTCTGGAAATCCTGTTCTACCTTTGTTCTTTACAACGCACGTTGTAACGGGCGTTGAACTTTCTGGAATTCTGGGCTATCCTTTCTTCCCGCAACGTCTGCGCAACGCACGATGCTCCCTCCGTTGGCTGGCTACCACTTTGACTCTTTGTTCCGCTTGATTCCGGTATGCGCCACTTTTTTTCCTTTTTGCCTGAATTCAACTACAAATACATCAATTCCAAAGTGTGGTGCTCTATTTGTAACTTAAAGCAAAAACAAGCTTAAAAGATATCAAATCTAAGCATTACCGAGCAAACCTTACTCAAAATGGCCTTTAAAAGGACCTACAAAACAGGTGTTTTTGACACTTATTCGTGTGGTTGAGTGGAAGGGACTCATTCATCCTTAACTAAAGGTCAAGGGTTCGATCCTTGACTTTGAGAATGGAGCAACCTTAAATCTCTAGGCTAGTTGTCCCTTCAAATAAATGCAATTCCTCACTTTTTCACTCTAGGGTTCTTCAAGAACTCTCTACAATTTCAGATGTTAACTAAAGTGTGGATCCCCCATAAAATGTTGGAAGTTTCCCCCTTTTATACTCCTTTTCCGCGCCCTGAAATCTTCCTAATCCACGAGCCGACCACGAGTGTGGATCGGGCTCGTGGTTTGGGAACTTATGTGCTTGCCGCCTTCGTCGAGATTTCCTGCTCCTTGACCACGAGACGCCCACGCACGTCGATTGGTCTCGTGAACCTTTCTATTTCGCATCCATGAGGTGGCCACACACATGGGCTGGAACTCGTGGATATGTCCTCCTATTGCACCATGTTCTCTTCTCCTTTCCTTCACTTGTCTTCCCCTTAAATTTTTGCAAAAAGTCACAATATGTTTCCCCCTACTTGGCATACTCGAAACTTAGTAAATTGCACCCATTTGCCTCATTTCCCATAAAACGCAAACTTGAACATACACAAATGTAACTCTAAATTCCTTCTAAAATGATACACTTTTGTCACTTATCACATGGCCCAGGAGTGCTCCGATTACGCAAAGAGCTGTAAGACGTGCCAGTAATACCAGAACAGACCGGGACGGCCAATCACAAATTTAACCTCTATCAGCTCGGTGATCCTCTTCTCAAGGTGGGGAATCGACAAAATGGGAGCCCTACCGATGGGGTCGGGCAAGAGAAAATATCTAACAGTGGTAGTGGACTACTTCACCAAATGGGTGGAGGCGGAACTGCTGGCAAGCATCACCAGCACCTGGTGCAAACAGTTTGTCTACAAAAATATTTTGTGCCGTTTCAAGATCCCGATGCAACTCATCACTGACAATGAACGCTAGTTTGAGGGGCAGGAGTTCGAGAAGTTTTGCATAGAGTGGCACATCACGCACAGCTGTGCGGTCGTGACTTATCCGCAGGCTAATGGCCAGGTGGAGAATGACAATCACACCATCGTGGACGACCTCAAGAAGAAGCTCGAATCAGAAAGTGGGGCTTGGGTGGAGGAGTTAGACGCCATCTTATGGGCATATGGTACCACCCTCGACGAGCCGCCGGTGAGACCCCCTTCTCACTATCCTATAGTTTCGAGGCCCACGCCCCCGCGGAGGTGGTCATACTATCTCGCCGAGTCCAGGAGTATGACCCGAACCTCAGCGACGAGCACCACTAGGTGGACCTCCACTTGGTAGACAAGAGATGAGAAACCGCTATGGTCCGAGCCAAAAACTACCAACGACAGGTTAAAACGTACCACGATAAACAGTTCCGCCCCCTCTACTTCCACGTTGGGGATATGTGCTTCAAAGGCGGGAGGCGAACCAACCTCAAGCCGGGGGTAAGCTCGCTAAGAAGTAGGAGGGCCCCTACATAGTGACAGTCGTAGTCCGCCAGGTGGCTACAAACTCAAGACCCCGAAGGGAAAGGTGGTAGCTAGAGTATGGAATGCCAAGCACTTATTGAAGTATTTTCAATGATTTACTTGAGAAGGTGGTCCGTTCCCTTCATATCAATAAAATTAGCAAAATTTCGTCACGGACTCATATTCACTACTTTTTTAGGGGGAGGAAGGTATCCGCACGACCCCTCCAACCGTAACCTAAGGGGGGCGCATGGTCCGACTTCTCGCACCACCCCCGACGAAAGAGGTCAACGGCCCCGGGTCAAAGGGCTACCACCCTAAGGGGAGGCACGAGGACCGACCTCGCTTGTCACCAACGGAAGAGCTTAATGGTTTAAGCTATCATCAATCTAAGGGGGGCACGAGGTCTGACCTCGCGCACCGCCCCCGACAGAAGAGCTCAACGGCCCGGGGTCAAATGGCCTGGGTCGGGGGGCATGAGGTTCGACCTCGCGCACCACCCCTTACGAAAGAGCTCAACGGTCCGAGGTCAAATGACCTTAGTCCGAGGGCTATCACCCTAAGGGGGACACGAAGTCCGACCTCACTACTCGCATCCCGAGGAAAGAGTTTGTGGACCTAAGGGGTACCCTTAGCCATATAACTACGCATATTAAAAAAAAATCAAACAAAGAAACACACCAAAGTTATTCCATGGCGCGGGGATTCGACCCCAAAATAAAGCTCAAGTCTCGAGCTCAAAGTCAGCGAGCAAGATCACTAAGCGGAGGCGTGGCCAACCACGACCTCGGATTCGGCAATGTGCCGAGACCTCGTGCTGACTTCCTTGGTCGAGGTCTCTCGTTGACCTCTCAGCCAAAGCCTCATCCTTGTGTCAACTACCTTGGTCGAGGTCTCTCATTGACCGGCTGAGGTCTCATCTCGTGCCTACCCCCTTTCTCGAGGCAGTTGGCCTAATAGGTGCGTAGCGGATGAGGGGGGGGGGGGGGTCAACATTTAATTTGGTCCTATTACCCCCGTTCGGTCGAACAAAAATTTAACACAGGTGTTAAATAAGTATAAATCAAAGCGAGAAAGATAGAGTTCAACATTCAGCAAGTGACCAGGGTCAAGTACATAATAAAGGAAGGAATCAAAAGCTATGTTGCCCTAAGTCTACTCGTTCAAATCAGGTGCAACAGTGGGCTTGAGCTCGATGGTGATGGATGCGGCTAGGGTCACCTCATCTACCTCGTCCATGGTCTCGGGGAAGCTAAGATTCAGCAAGGTGGGCGAAATAGCTCCAGAAGATGGGACGGTCACAACTGGCTCATTAGAGCGATCCAAAGGAAACAAGGAGAAAGGAGCAGTGGCGGCGGCCTCTCCACCCTCCGGGGCATCAGTCGTCTGCTCGTGCACCTCCGGATCTGGGTTCTTCATCTCAGCTGGCAGCCCTAAAGCCACCGGGTCAAAAATGTCACCCTTCTGGCGCAGATTGGTGTAGAGGTCCTGTTGCATCACATACTTGCCTAGTTGATAGGCCACCGCGCCCTCTTCTGCCAACCTTTCCTTTCCCGCCTCGGTAGCCAGCTAGGTGGTCACTAGATTATCGATGTGCTTCTGGGCATATGCCTCAGCGTCCCGGGCGAAGCCTCCAGATCTCTTGTAGGTGGGGACGGCACGTGCAAGCTCCTCAGCGTGACTCTTCCTCTCGTCCGCTGCGGCTCTCTTCTCTACCACCAAGGCCGTGAGCGCATCATCAGCGCGCTTCTTCTCGGCCTCTAGGGCCTTGAACACATCATCAGCGCGCCTCTTCTCTGCCTCCAGGGCGTTGAGCGTGTCATCAGCCCGTCTTTTTTCGCCATCAAGGGCTCGAAGGACATCGGCAGCATGGCTAGTAGCCTCATCAACACGGGCATCAACCGTGGCGGCCCAGTCCTGCAGGTGACAGCAGGCGGTCGTTAAACACCTAGTCTTGGGGTATGAAAATTGAAATTGAGGGGCATAACAGAGAGAGAAAGTACCTCAAGGGAAGCTTGAAATCGTCGAAGCATTTCGCGAGCGCTGTCAGCTATGCGGGGCAGGCACCACCGTAACCGTAGGCCGGCTAGACTGTATCCGCGGCTCAACAGGGGGGGCTCGGCTCCACCCAACAACTCTTTGTCTCTTGGCCGCCGAGCGACGCTCCACAGCACGTTCAAGACGCTCTCGAAATGAGGTCATACCGGATGATTTCCCTGCAAACAAATCAAATCAAGTTAAACATACACAAGTATTTTAAATAGCAACGTGATGTTCGGATGTAGGGCGGCAGTGGAGGCCCCGGCGAAGCCTAAGCTCTGCCTATTCACCGCGGTGATCATGTCCCCAATGATGATATCCTCTCCGGAGCCCCAAAATTTGTTGACATCTCGAAGCAAAGAAGTCGTCCTACGAGGAACTTTATGTCGCAAGAAATGAGTGTTCCAAGAAAGGAAGGAGCGAGAAGGGCTAGTAGAAATGAAAACGACGTAAGGTTTCCAAGTCCTATTGGACTGGTTAATGTCGGGAAACACCTTCATATTAGGGCAGGCCGAGATAGCCACATACCCTTGCATGCGATAGCCGAAGACCGGGTGACCTAGAAAAGATATTGGAAGAGCTCTAGGTAGGGTTTTACGTGGATGGTATAACATCGTAGGAGGAAAGCAATAAGCATGTCATGGGCGTTGGGGACCAATTGCCCCGGCCTACGCCATATTGGTTAAGGACTCGTATCACGAATGGTTGGATGGAGAAGTGAAAGCCAATGTTCAAGGATTGCACGTGGATGCCAAAAAAGTGGTCATCGAGGGGTGCTGTGACATACCCCCTGAGGGAGGTAGACAGACCTCGACAGCCGACCCCGTGTAGCCCTGAGCTTCATTGAGGTCTCGCTCGGAGCTCTCGAACCGGGAGCAAAGAATGAGCGTTTCTAGCTCGGTGTATAAGGAGGGGTTGTCAAGGGGGTGGAATCGAGGTCGGCCAGGAGAGGAGGGGTGGGGGGTCATCCAAGAGGTATTTGTGTGGTGTGGTGTGGTGTGGTGACCTCGGTGGAAGGGGTCGGAAATTCACCAGGGGGGAGTGTTATCATCCAAATCCATAAGGAGGTCCCAGATATTTATGGAATCCAAAAAATTGTCTAGAGAACTAATGGGAGAGTACATGCAAAAAACATAAAGCAAAAAAGAGGGGAAATAAGGGGGTATAAAGAAGGGGAATGAGACCTATTAAGAGTCTACCACTATTTTTTTGAGTTCTAACAGATGAAAGAGTCGTATTTGCGATAGAACTCTACTGTTATCGCGATATAATATTTTTATCGCATTAAGTTATTGGATCCGAGACGAAGGCGGGAGTCGGGATTCGCGAGGCGAGGTAAGACTTTGTGAAGTCGAAAATGTTCAAGGTGCGGCTCGGAGCGTCTACTCCCCTTCGCTGACGACTTCTCGCAGCTCGGATGATGGGGGACTGATGATGGACATATTGGAAATGGAATGAACCGACCCGAAGGAATGAAGCATCGATGACCCGGGGCCCCGAGATCAAACCTCGCGCGTGACCCGGGTCATCTCGGCGGTTGACCTCCCAGGTCATCTCCACGGCGGCCGACCGAAAAACCGTTAACCGATAATCGAACCGCCCGAAAAGTTCAGTTATCAATTTTTTAGTTCAAAATTTTTTGATTATTTCGGTTAATCGGTCGGTTATCGATTTTCTTAAAAAAATTCAATGACCGACCGAAAAATCGAGGCTTAAACAAATAAAAAAAATTAGTAATTTTGAAATATACTTTCGGACTTTGATATAAGAGGAAAAAAAAGAATATTTTTAGAGGAAAAATATTTTTTAAATAACAAAGTTAATGAGCCCACATAAAATCATTCCATTAAAAAAAATAAAAGGGTGGCTCTGTTAGCACTGTTGTTTACATTGGTGCTATTTGCAAAAGCTAGAGATTACTAGACCAGAAAGAGATGAAGAAGGACAAGAGAATAGGGGTGGTCGACGGTGGAGAGATGAGAAGAAGAACGTGTCATCGTCTCCGCAAATCATCAAGTGCCATTTTTTCATGCATTATAGTGAAATTCAAGCTTCTAAATCAAATTACTTCAAGATTCAACATTTACTTATGAATCAAATTACTTCACGAACAACCGTTCACCGTTCCCTTTAGTTATGTCCCCTCCTTCGCCATTTTTTCAAGCTCCGTCACCAGTTACGCTCGATTAATTTTGACCGACCCATAACCGCCAGTTTCGGTTATGTCAATTTCCTTATACTTCTTGGTCGGTTTCGATTGGTTATGGGATTCCAAAAATAATTTCGGTTATTAACTGAAAATCGACCGAAACAGACCGATGCTCACCCCTATCAGTGGTTGACCTCCCAGGTCATCTCGGCAGTTGACCTTCCAGGTCATCTTGGCAATTGACCTCCTAGGTCATCTCCGCGGGTGACCTCCTCGGCCGACCCCCTGGTCGAGCAGTCCCCATCGTTTGACCCATTCGGCTGACCTCTCGGTCGGGGTCTCTGCCGATCTACCCGGGCACCGGGTGCGGTCAAAGACGGTGGTAACCGTCCCCTCCTCTTTAGAGGAGGCAGTTACAGGTCTCTTAGGTATAAATGGCGCTCATTTTGTCCCTTTAGGACATCTCTTACCATACTTTTCTATCCTTTGTCCTAAACTATCAATGTAATGACATTACATCCGTTGTAATTCATTTACCAACTGGTTATTAATACAATATTGTCTCCGTGACACATTTTTATCCCGTTACCTTGTCCATTTGCTATTTCTCTTGTTTATCGGATTTGTTAATTCGGACCACCCGGGTTAATTAAATCCACCATATACATCTACTAGTAATTGTCCCGTGCGATGCACGAACTATTATTAATTTAACAAATTTACTAATTAAATTTTTGACATCCTCTGAATTAGCAAAGAAAGTAATGGTTGTGAAAATAGAAAAACGTACTTGAGTTCTTGAGCTCAGAATTAGTTTGATTAAAAATGTAAGTATAACTATACAATGTAATATTTAATATTTTTAAAAGTTTAATTATGCTATTATTATGTTGATTTTAAAGTTTATTGTAATAACTATATTTATTTTATATTTAATTTCTCCTCTTTATATATGTGAAGTCAAATTAATTATTATTGAGGTTTAAATATAAAACTTTATCAATAAATTTGAACACAATAAATTTTTTCCATACTTCATTATGCTTTAATATATATATAGAGATAGAGATAGAGCTATAATGGATCGTTATACCCTGGACCACGGCGCGCACAACACTGTGCGTCCCGCGCCTCCCAAAACGACGTCGTTTTGGTAAGTTATGTTGGGAGTTGACGTGATTATGTGTATTTTTTATACAATTATGTTTATTTGTTTATACAATTATGTACATTTTTTATACAATCATGTACATTTTTTTTGGTACAATTATGTACATCCGAAACAGGAAACTTATGTGTATTATGTTAAGAGTTGATGTTTATTATGTTAAAAGTTTATGTATATTATGTATTATGTTAGATTATAGAGCAAATACCACTTTTGGTCCCACGAGTATTAACAAAATGACGATTTTGATCCACATGTTTAATTTCTACCAATTTTCATCCCACGACTATTGTTTTAGTACCAATTTTCATCCACGACTATTATTTTAGTACCAAAATTCATCACGTCGGTCACCCCTCCATCCAAGACATGTCGAAATCTAAAAATTTTAAGGGCATTTTCGTCATTTTCAACTTAAGACTCTAATTTGAGCATGAATAAAGGGATGTAAGCCCTAAGATCAATCCTAATTGGCAGTTCTCCTCATCATCCTACTTTAATTTATGGAGAAAATTTGTGAATCGTGATAGATCTTAGGGCTTAAATCTTTTTATTCATGCTCAAATTGGAATCTTAATTGTAAAAAGACGAAAATACCCTTAATAATTTCATATTTCGACATGTTTTAAACAAATGTGTGACTGGCGTGATGAATTTTGGCACTAAAACAATAGTCGTGGATGAAAATTGGTACTAAAGTAATAGTCGAGGATGAAAATTGGTAGGAATTAAACATGTGGACTAAAATTGTCATTTTGCTAATACTCGTGGGACCAAAATTGGTATTTGCTCTTAGATTATATGTATTATCTTTTTAAAAAAAAGTATGTATATTTTGTTATACAATTATGTACATTAATGTATACAATTATGTCTATTCTAGTATAAAATTATATAATTTTTGAACCTATGTAAAAAGAAAGCACATAACAACAAATTCAAGTAATTAAATTTGGTGCATAGACACATCGCCAGGAAAAAAACAAAAATTCCTTATTTGCACATTCAACAGAGCTTAAACTCATTTCAGTTATAAGTCTCCCAAACAAACAGTCAGATGAGAACCTCCAATTCACATAACACACAACCCCCCCACCCCCCACCCCAATAGTCAAATTCCAAATTCATTGAAAAAAAAAAAAGGAAGAGAAACATAGACAGAACAGCATATTTGCAAGTAAATCAAAAGATATGATCGAACTTTTTACCTATTTGTTAAGAACACTGCGCAGATCTACGTGTGCGACGAAAATATAGTGCTTTTAACCTTGTGATTGAACGCGGACGAAGCGACGACTGAGTAGATTTGAACGGCGGCACTCTCTCATCTCTCGTCCGAAATCTAAGACGCGGTTTGGCAGGATTTTTATTAAATAATAAGGAAAATAGTAGTTTTCCCCCTAAGTTATATACTTATAACATTTTCTCCCCCTAAATTATTTAAGCGGCAGTTTTCCCCCTGAAATGTTAAATGGACATATTTATCCTTAAAATAAATATTCCATTTATTTTCCTTTTCCAACAAATTATGACCACGATTTAGTTCAAATCGAACAGACACTATAGCAACAAAACTGAAATATTCCGATTACAATTTAGAATCGAAACCCGATATTTAGAGTTTATTAAAATCATGAACGGAACGATCAGTTCATGTTCCGAACTGAAAAAAAGAAAAATACATTTATTGTTGAATTTAGAATATCTTAAAAATATAAAATAAAATTTTAAAATAAAGTTTGAACCAGTAGTTCAAACTGATCTGGCACCGTGACCCGGCGGTTCAAAATCAAAACCAAATCGCGGTCATATATACTTATATGTGATAATCAGAATAATTCAAGAAGGAAATGTGCTATAAACATATAATTCAGGGAGAAAAAGTGCAATTTTTTCTAAACAATATTAGGACATTATTGTAAATATATAAATAATTAAGTTATAATTCTAAATATTTATTTATGGGAAAATTGTAATTTATACTGCTCACAAATATGTCAATTATCAATGTCACCCCTGAATTATGAGTAGTGTAAATGTTGCCCCTCAATTTTTAAAACGTGGCATATAGTGTCATTCCCCTAAATTATTAGTAGTGTAAATGTGGTTACCCATCGTTTTCTATATTTGAACACCACGTTTTTTCCTCTATTTTTCTTTCTTCGTTTGTTCTCTTCCACCGAGAACCATATTTCTCTTTCTTCTTATTAGGGTAGGGGCAATATGTCATTGAAAATTGATGGGCAATATTTACACCACTAATAATTGAGAGGTGACATTGATAATTGATATATTTATGAAGGGTATAAATTATAATTTTCTTTATATATATATTTAATATAAAAATCTATTAAATACAAAATTGTTTAATTTATATGCTTTCGGACATCCAGTTAATTATCCTATATATAATAAAGCTATATGGTCTTGTGAAAATTGAATATTGCATTTAATTTTCACAAGACCATATGACTTTAAGATGTGAAAGTCTTGTGAAAATTAAATGGGCTTTAAGATGTGAAAATTAAATGTTGCATTTAATTTTCACATCTTAAAGTAATTTTCACATCTTAAGAAGTATGCATGCAACCCCAAAGTCCATAAGTTTGAAATTAATATATAGCATAGCTATGTGGCTTAATATTTAAGATTGTTGATGTGCATATTGAGGACTACGGAGACAAAGATGCGTTATTCGTGGATTCATCGGATACTATCCACCAACACTCTCCAACTTAATTGACGTGAAGTAGGCTTAGTAACATTAAGATTATATTCTCGAATTATTAGTTCTCATCTTTTATTGATTATACACTTAATTCGATAGTATTTGGAAGAAAAAAATCAATGTTCTAACTAAGATTGTGATTTTGGTCTTTAAAGGTCAATTGCATGTTGCTACATCTAGAGTTAGAAATCTCAAAGGTCTAAAAATTTTGATCCGTGGTGACTCTAAAATTGGAATTCAATTACTATTGTAGTTTACTAAGTTCTTAAAATTTTATAATATTAAATACTATGTACTAAATTTTTAATATAGTTTAAGATTTGTAGTAATCACCCACCTTAAATATTATTTTAATTGTAAATATATTTATGTTCATAATTTTATCATAGGAATCCACACATAATAATTATTAAATAACAAAAATTTTATATATGAATAAACCTCATATAGTGTATATTTTTATAACATATTTTTCGTGCATCGCACGGGACAAATACTAGTTAATAGTAATTATTATATTATAATTATATATATTCATAATTCATGAACATTATTTTTTATATACTAAACTAATATTGTAGACAAAATGGAATGACAAAATGCCATCCAATATTCAACTAGAGAGGTAAATGGACGGAAAATTAAAAATTTAAAAGTGATACCGTCAAAATAAAAGTAGTCAAAAAGTGCAAAAATTTTATGACGGATTAAAAGTGAATAACCCCCAATAATATTAGAACTAAAAAAAAGAATTAAGGGAAGTGTTGGGTGTGAAATGAACTAATAAGACACTTAATGTATGAGACTAAGAATACTATAGCAAAGGAGAAGATAACTCATATGTTATCTATGGAATACTTGTTTACAGTAATGTCTTTACATAGATTAAAGACCAACGATAATATACTGAAAAGTATGATCAAGTTCCCACGTATGAAGCCTAGCATTAATAATTGGAAGACTAAAAACATTATTAACTAATTCAAATAATAAATACTAATAATAGTCTAAACTAAAATATCATAATTAAATATTGCTAACATCCTCTCTTAATTCTGATTTTCTACCACCCTAAGCATACGCTTTAACTTGATAAAGGCTTCATACTTCAAGGATTTAGTGAGTATGTCGGCTACTTGCTCTTCAGACTTGTAATATTTTAACTCAATTACTTTCTTGTCAACTTGATCTCTCAAAAAATGATAACGCATGTCAATGTGCTTGCTTCTACCATGTGTGACTAGATTCTTGGATAAGTTAATTGAAGAAACATTATCGACATAGATCTTCCATGGACACTGGACATGAACATAAATTTGGTTCAACACATTGTTCAACCATATTGCTTGACATGCACCCGAAGTTGCTGCTACATACTTTGCTTCACAAGTTGAAAGTGCAGCAATTGATTGTTTTTCAAGGACCAAGAACAAGCTATAGTACCAAGCATAAAACAATAATCGGAAGTGCTTATCCGGTCATCTATATCTCCGCCCTAATCACTATTAGAATATCTTGTAAGAACATAATTTTCAGATGATGAGTAAAATCATCCATGACCATAGGTACCCTTCAAATAACGCATGATTCTTTTTGTTGCCTGCAAATGTGATTGCCGAGGCGACTCCTTAAATCTGCTGACAGGACCAACACTATAACAATGTCAGGCCTAGTACATGTTAAGTACCTTAAACTCTCCACAATCTGCTTGAAATAAGTAGGATCAACATATTGATCACCACTATCTTTAGACAGTTTTGTACCAACCTCCATATGAGTTCTTGTAGGATTATAATCGTACATATTAAACTTTTTCAAAAACTCAATGGCATATCTCTTTTGACAGATAAAAATCCAATTATCTCTTTGATCTACTTCAATGCCAATGAAGTATGACATGAGACAAAGATCCTTCATTTCAAACTCTTTCATCATGGATTTTTTTAAACTCTTAAATCATTCTAGGATTATTGCTTGAAAATATTAAGTCATCAACATATACAGATAATAGCAATATATCACCAGAATGATTAATCATGGCATATAATCCATGTTCAGATGGGTATTTTTTAATCCAGTTGCATGAAGAAATGAGTCAATGTGCCTATTCCATGCGTGCGGTGCTTGTTTAAGGTCATATAATGCCTTTTTCAATCTATACGCTTTCCCTTCACTTCTTTTCTTGATAAAACCCAATAGTTGCTTCACAAACACTTCTTCCTCCAGGGGACCATTGAGAAAAGCAGATTTAACATCTATTTGATGGATTTTCCATTGCTTTTGCGCAACTAAAGCAATTAGAAGTCTAACCGTTTCCATCCGAGCCACTGGTGAAAACACTTTGTGGTAATCATAACCCGATCTCTGTTCAAATCCCCTTGCAACTAATCTTTCTTTGTATCTTTCAATCTCACCATTGGATTTTACCTTTATCTTAAAAACCCACTTCACGTCAATAACCTTTTGTCCCTGTGGGATATCAGTAAGTTCCCACATATTATTTTTTTCAATTGCTGAAATTTCTTCATTCATTGCATTTACCCATTTAGGATCTTGGATTGCCTCATCAAATGTGACAGGTTCAACATCTGCTAAAAATGCGAAATGGACCATATCCGCATCATTATCAATTTGATTATAAGAAATTACCTCATAGTCTTGCAAGTGAACATGTAACTCTGTAGAAGCTTGAAGCAAAAAAAGTCAGCTCACAAGAACTTGATGATGGAACTTCACTGTTAACATGAATTAATTCTTCTTCAAGAGCATGTATAACATGTTTTCGAGAATCCTCATGATTAGCTACATCCCAATTCCAAGCTTCTTTCTCAGCAAATGTTACATCTCGACTAATGATCACCCTCTTTGTGACAAGATTAAACAATTTGTATCCCCTTGTTTATACCCAATAAGCACACATTTTTCTGCTCGGTCGTCTAGTTTTGTTCTTGTTATTGCTGGAATATGAGCATAAGCAATAGAGCCAAACACTTTAAGATGGTGCACGTTTGTCTTAAAACCACTCCAAGCTCCAATAGGGGTGATATTTGGTACACTCTTTGTTAGAGACATGTTCAACAAATAGACATCACATGCGATAGCTTCACCCTAGAAAGAATTAGGGTGTGTTTGGTTCGCACATAGGAATCGGAATGGGAACCGAAATGGGAATCAAATACTTGATAATGGTAATGAGTTTTGGTGAAAGTATTTTGCACGTTTGGTAGTAGGGTGGAATTGGAATGATAACCAATATTGCTGTTTGGTTATGCATGATCCTATAATGGGAATAAAGATTTAAAAATAAAAGAACAACAAATCAAGACAATTTATTCTAATATAAAGACATCCAAAGCACTAATATGAATAAAAAAAATTAAAAAAAAATCTAAAAGCACTAATCCAAACTTAAAAATCAAATTATCAATTAAGAGGGGAAATAATGGAATGAAACCCTTATTTTATTAGGGAATGGGTTTTCTAGTTAAGGGGGTAATTAAATCCCATAATAGTGTTCTAGAAACCTGTCAACCAAACAATAACAATGACTTTGATTCCCATTCCTAATAGCTAAACCCATGAACCAAACACACCCTTAGGCATACCTTTTGCTTTTAGCATGCTTCATGCCATATCCAATATGGTTCTATTTTTCCTCTCTGCAACTCCATTATTTAGCGGAGTATAAGGAAACCTAACATCATGTTGGATTCCTTGCGCACCTAAATATTCATTGAATTCATTAGAATTGTATTCTCCACCTCCATCGCTTCGAGGGATTTTGACGGAACCACCAATCTGTTTCTCAACAAGCACTTTAAACCTTTTAAAATAGTCAAAGACTTCAGACTTTAATTTCAAAAGATACACCCAAATTTTCCTAGTAAAGTCATCAATAAAAGTCAAAAAATTCTTGTTGCTACCATTTGAGACAACATTCATAGGGCAACAAACATCAGAATGAATAATTTCTAATGGATGTGTTGCACGTCTTTGTTCTCCTACAAAAGGCAATCTGTGACTCTTACCCAATATGCAGGCTTCACATAATTGTTCTGGGTGTTGAATATTTGGCAAGCCTTTCACTATATTTTCTTTGGCAAGTATTTTCAAACTCCGAAAATTTAAATGTCCATAACGGAAATGCCAATTCCAAGACTCGTCATCCACAATAACATTAAGACATTTATATTCACCCTTAGATATATCAATAGAGTAAATACCAGCCAAGGTCCCTCGATTTTGATGGTTTCGCCATCTATAGTCCCTAACTTTCATATTTACCATCCGTGGTCCTCCGAGTTGCGAAATCGGACCTGTTGCCATCCCTCCGTTAATTCCTTCCGTCTAAGCCGTCTAAAGCAAGGATAAAATTGTCATTTGTCCATAAAATAAAATAAAATAAAATAAAACATTCAAAAATTAAATGCTTCTTCCTCCCGAAAGCTCCAACAATGGCCACCGTTATTGCACTCTCCCCTCGGCGATCAGTCAATCGCCGGACTGGAAGGCATTCAATGCTTCTTCCTCCTCAACTCGTTGCTTGTCCTCCACTTTCGATGCGTTTCAATTCCACACCAAATTCGCCTACGATTCTCTCAAATCTCAATTTCCGCACTTCGAGTTCGGGTTCGGGCTTGCGCATGGTAGTTCACTGCACGTCCACCGGCAAGATTTAGTTTCAGAGCTAATTTTTGCATTTTTAAGCTCAATTTCAATCTTTGGTCTTACCCGAAGCTAAAATATTAAGCGATTTGAGCGATTCTACCCGGGTTTTATGTGAGCTCCGAGAGCCCGTCCGGTTCTGATTTGAGCGATTCTAGCCTCCCTCAGCTTTACTGGCCCATTGCTCGCACCGGTGAGGTTTTTCCGACACCGGTGTTGCAGATCGAAACGGCTTCCTTACGGGCTTGACAAGAAAGTCTGCTGCACCTCTCATTCTCTCAACATGCCTCTGCCCAACATACGCCACTTCCACCTCCTCTGTTTCTTGAATTTCTTGTGTAAGCTAAAGCTACTATGGCACACAACAAGTCACCAAGCCATCACCACCCTATAAAGTAATTTTTCTTTTTCATTTGTCTTTACTTGAATTTTAAGAGAGATTAATGAAGGATGAAGTATCAGCATGAACAACCGAAGTGGGGATTAGCTGATGAGGTTAATTGGGTATCTGGGTTATGGCTTCCGATATGGTACGAGGAAATGAAAGGAGGATTATAGTAGAACACTGCGGTTGTTTTGAGCTTGATGACGAGGAGGATCCACACTGTTTGGGCTGCGTTTGGTAGAACACTTTGGACATCACCAACTCTCCATCTTTCTCCAGTTTGTCTTCTCCGGTTTCCTTTGCCTGCCGCATAGTTGGTGTACAGGACGAGGATCTTTTTGTACCCTCTCAGATTACCTTCCCCAAACACTGCCCTAGTCTTGCCGGTTTTGTGCTACCTCGTCTTGATTTGTGCTTGACTTTTTTTTCTTCCGTTTTGCTCTAGTCTTACTACTGTTGACAGCAATAACTCAAAAGCGGTCTTTTGGGACTCATTCTAAAATCTTCATGGTCTATTCAAATTTGTATGGTCAAATCAAAGGATTTAATCTACTAAGTAAAATAAAATTTTGCTTAATATTAGTATTACAATTGTTATTTTGCATTGGCTGGGTGCAATTCCGGCAATGGGCCTCCCCCCTGGAATTGAAGGTTGAAGGCTTGAAGCCACAGCTGAAAACAATGACATATGACTTATTTACCCCTACTTTTGACGGCAAAGACAGAATGAACTAACGGAAGGATGGTAGCAGGTCAGATTTCGCAACTCGGAGGACCACGGATGGTAAATATGAAAGTTAGGGACTATAGATGGCGAAACCATCAAAATTGAGGGACCTTGGCTGGTATTTACTCTATATCAATAGGAATCATGTGATTTTTTGATAAGCAATACTTGAGAATAAGTGTGCCTTTTTTTTTTTTTTTTTTGTTTTTTTTTTTTGTTTTTTGTTTTTTATCAAGAATTGAGAGTTGACTATCGTGAATAGTCATGGACTCATGGTATATCCCTTCTCTGCTAATTGACCAACACTAAGCGGATTACTTTTCATATCTGGTACATAAAACACATCAGAAATGTACATATGGTCTCCACCTTTTAGATTCATAAGAATCTGCCCTTTTCCTATCACCGGTATAGTCCTCCCATCACCGAACTTGACGCTAGTGCGGAATGATTCATCAATATCAGAAAAAAAACTCCCTTTTGCCACACATGTGATTAGTACATCCTGTATCAAGAAACATATGTGGTAACTTGATGTTTCAGTTGTTGCTACGACCATTAAAGAACATGACCACTATCATCATCCTTATTGTTATCCTCTTCTTGTACACAATGGGCTTCAAGTGTACCATTTTTTATACCAATATTTTCTTGCATAATGGCCACACTTGTGACAACAACACTCAATATTAGACTTGTCATATTTTCCTCTACCGCGTCCACGACCTCGCCCTCTTGAATTTTGTTGATGGTTTGATTTTTCTTGATCATTACCACCATGTGCATCATGATTGCTATTATGGCCTCCAGAATTTCTATTGGAGCGATTACCACCACGTCATCATCCTCTATCACGGGAACTACCAGACTTTCGGCTTGTATCAACAATGGAGACTTGAGCTTGAAGAGCCTGCTCAATTGGCTTTTCAATATTGTTTTCATTCATACGTTGCTCATGGGCTCGCAAGGAACTAGATAATTGTTTGACTGTCATTTTGGACACATCATTGGCTTCTTCGATTGCTGCTACAATATGCTCAAATCTAGGACTCAAAGATCTTAGAATTTTTTTCTACCTTCACTTATTCTGTACAAGCCTCTCCATTTCCTTTCATATCATTTGTCAAAGCAAGGACGCGATTGACATAGGCATCAACTGGTTCAGAAGGCTCCATATGCAAAAGCTCATATTGACGTATTAAGGTTTGGAGCCGCACTTTTTTAATTTTGTCGCCACCTTTGTATGAAGTCAGCAAAACATTCCACGCTTTATTTGATGTAGTTGCTCCTTCAATCTACTCAAAAGTCTCATCACTCATCCCTTGATGGATGTAATATAGTGCCTTCTTGTCCTTTTTCTTCATCTCATGATGGGCAACTCTATGTGTTTTAGTTGCGTTGTCAGCTAACTCGACTGGCCCATTCTCTACAACATCAAGCAACTCATGGTAATCGAATAGTACCTTCATTAGACACTCCATCGATTATAATTTTTCCCATCCAAGATAGGAACTGAAAGTTGAGTTGTATTATTCATGGCTCTGATACCAAATGTTAGGTGTGAAATGAAGTAATAAGACACTTAATGCATGAGACTAAGAATACTATAGCAGAGGATAAGATAACTCTTATATTATCTATTGAATACTTATTTACAGTAATGTCTTTATATAGATTAAAGACCAATGATAATATACTGAAAAGTAGGATCAAGTTCCCACGTGCATGAAGACTAGTATTAATATGAAGACTGTTTTAAAATAATAATAATAATAATATGAAGACTAAAAACATTATTAACTAATTCAAATAATAATGACTAATAATAGTCTAAACTAAAATATCAGAATTAAATATTGCTACCAGGAAGAACTAAAAAAGGAATTAACTCTGAGATTAACTACATATAGAAGGGATTATTTATGTGGGGTACTCTTATTCCAATATTTTCAAGTGAAATTATAAAAATATGCATGTTGCTTGAGTGCTTGATTATTTCTATGCTAAGAAGATAGAAGTTGTGGTTCTGGCTTTAGGCAAAAAGTTAGAAATCAGATGATTGTTAATCACAATAGGAAAATATAGAATAAATTCTTGTTAAGTAGTCATTTACTGTATTTTGTATGCATAGAATGTGTATGAAAATATATGAAGATTAGAGAAAATTTGCTCAAAGAGGCTTTCTCATTCAATGTTATAGAGAGAGTAGAGAAGAATTGTGTAATGGATTGTGGGGATGGGATCCCCCCTCCAATGAAGGGTTAGGGGCCCTTATATAGGTGCATACCTTGACTTTTCAGGAATAAAATATGGATATACCCGGAGGATAATCCCTATCAAATAGTCCTCCCAGACCATGCCCTGACGTCGAGCTAATGAGGAAGGGTTCGAGCTGAAAATCCAATTACAGTCCGTGATTTACGCTGGTTGCCTCGTTAAAAACCTTAAACTAAGAAAAACTCAGTGGGAAAAACTTAGCTAAGGGAAAAAGAGTACAACCATAAGTGCAATCTTTTGGACTATAAGGGGTTTGTCTGAATTTTACCGATCTAGGGATTGGATTTTTAGTTACGATCGGGAGATCGACTTACCCGTGATCTAGAGACCCGATTTTACCAATCAAGGGAATGGATTTATTCGCAATATAGGGATCGAATTTTACCAATCAAGCGATTAGATTTACTCATGATCTACGGTCGAATTTTACCAATCAAGAGATTGGATTTTTAGTGTGATCTAGTGATAAAGAATACCAATCACCATTAAGAAGTGGGATATGTTCATCGTTGAGAAGCGGCATGCTAAAAAGTGGCACCACTTAGAAGTAGGATAGATTCATCACTGAAAAGTGGCATCGCTGAGAATCGACATACATTCACCGCTGAGAAGCGAGATACATTCATTGATGAAAAGCGGCATTGTTGAGAAGAGGCATCGCTGAGAAGCAGGATATATTCATCACTAAGAAGCGGGATAGATTCATTACTGAGGAGCGGGATATATTTATCGCTGAGAAACGAGATAAATTCATCGCTGAGAAGCGGGATCTATTCATCGATGAGAAGTGGGATATATTCATCGTCGAGAAGCAAAATAGATTCATCGCTGAAAAGGGACATCACTGAGAAGCGGGATAGATTCATCGCAGAAAAGCGGCATCACTATTGAATGGCATCGCTGAGAAGCGAGATAGATTCATTGCAGACGAGGATATCTTTGCCTCACTGGTCCGGAGACCATTAATTTTCCGATCTTCTGATCACAAACAGGGATATCTTTGCCTCTTCGGTTCGGAGAACATAGTTGTAACAACCCAAAATTTAATTTTCTAAATTCTGTTTTAAGAAATTCCAAAATAGCCATTTTTCACTCTAACAAAAGTTTTATGATGAAAACAATGTTTGAATTAATTATTTTGAGCTACATTTTAAATAAATTCAACACCGGGACTTATTCTATTTATGAAATCCTAAATTCTCGGGTACATTGCGTGCCAAGTTTTTGACCCAAAAGTCAATCTGAGTGAAATCGGGAAAAATATGAGAAACCTAAACCAAGTGGTTATCTAGAAAGTATTTTTGGAAAAATGTATTTTGACCCCCAAAGTATTTAGGAACACTTTCCTAGACTTTGGTTCATGTTGCATGGTGAACCACAAGCTTCCAATGCCTTTGCCTGATATTTTAGAGAATCAACCAAATTATCATTTTGCCTTCCACCAATCATTTTTGATCTCCCTAGGGGTTTGAGCCAATATAAAATGAATAGTTATCAGAAATTTTCCTCTTGATTCCATCCTTGTCTTCCCTACCAAGAGCTCTGCAAGAACACAAAGAAGAAAACAGTAAGTTCTTAGGCTTAATCTCATCCATTCATCCATTTTCCATCTAGCTTCCATTCCTTAGCTTTCCATCTCTAAGATTCTTGTTCTTACGGATTTTTGTGTGGCCTGTTTGAGGTATTTAGGTGGTGAAGGGGGTAGTGGCTGAGTTGGGAAGAAGGAGGAATCCCAACAAGAAGAGGAGACAACAAAGGTATAACCCATGGACTCCCAACTAGCTTTATTTTGACTCTGTGAAGTCTAGATTGAAGTGTAAATGCTTAGAAATTCTAGATTATTGTTTTTGTTGAGCAAATAGTGAGCTATTATTGATCTATGATGGTGAGTTTAGGATTTGGGAGTGTTGGATTGCTCAAAGGTTGTTGTAGGTGAAGAAGAAACCCTATGGTGCACACTTTTTATGCACCAGACAGGTTCACGGAACTAGCCAACGGCTCTAGTAAGGGACCGCTGGCTAGTCCCGTGGAGAGCCGGCCCTTGGGCACGGTTCTCAGCTAGAACCGTTGCCCAAGGCCGCCACTTGGCGGAGCCAAGTGGCGGGGCTCCTCAAGCCCCGCCACCAAACTCCGCCAGGCCAAAAAGAAGTTTGGTCGGGCCCTCTGTGGCTCAGCTACGTGTCGATCGGACCGGGACTAGTGGGCCCTTGAGGCTCGGACACTCGGGTTCGTTACGACGCACTAGTAGAAGTTGATTTCGTTGATTTTGGAGTTGAAATGCTTGTTTTAAAGTAGTTTTTGTGTTGATAAGTGTATTTGAAGTATTATGTAAATGATTTACAGTGAAGAAAAGTTGAAGAGTTTGAGCTTAGCTATCTGAATGAAAAGCATGATCATTGTTTGTTAAGTTTTGCTTGAATAACATGTCTAAATATCCATTGTGAGTTATTGAGAATTTTGTCAAGAATATAAGATATTTGGTTTGTACAGTACATGAACTTAATTATTTACAATGAAGTGAA